ACATACATACTAGTGTACATAAACATTCCAAAGAATTTTGTTGTTAAATACAGGTTTATTTTCATTAAATTACTTTTATTTCAAAATAAAGCATATACATTTACTGTTTCTGTGATACAATTCCTAAACTTATTTATTAGTAAAAAAAATAAAATGATTTTTGTTTTTTTTATTGAATGGTTATTGAAGAATCGGAGAGTGGAGTTTGAACCCCAGTCAAATCCATTATATTAAATTACATGCTAATACCCTTGGGAAAGATATGAATCCTCTTCTTCTACCCCAGCTATGGGTAAATTGCAGGACAGATCGGGTCCTATAGCCTTGGATGGCAACTGGTCTACTGCAGAAAGAAATAGCAGCCTACTGTGGGGAAAAAAATTTGCCTCGTCAGTCATGTATCAAAAGATACATGATCGCCTAAACAAAAAGAATTAAGTGTAAAAGTGGTCCATGAGTAAAAAAATATTGATTTTTTTTTTTTAAAAAAAAGTCATTTTTGGAGAAATAAGTGGATCTTATGTAAGTACATGAAAAAACCAAAAAGTTTAAAAATGTGATACTGAAGTTTCAATAAAATCTGACAGTTATCTGATTTTTGAAAGAATTTCAAAATCAATTCGTTTTTGATGATTTAAATTCTCTGCAGACATGTCCTTATAACTAATATAAATATTATACAATGCAAAAAGGAATTTCTTGAAATTTCATAAAATTAAATGAGTTGGGAGTAACAGAACAAAAGAATATTTTTACAAACATTTTCTAAAAAGCTTTTCAAAAGTAATTTAATTCATTTCTGAATAAGTCCTGATAGATTCCTCAAAATCTGACAGTTACTGATTTTTGAAAGAATTTCCAAATCAATGTATTTTTCACTGCAAAAAGATGCTCAAATTTCCCGTACAAATTTAAGGTCCCACTTGGACACCAAAAAACAAGATTTTGTAACAAAAATTTCCAGGGTTCTAAAAAGAATTAAAAAAAACAAACTTTTGCATCATAAACTCCTATGATCTTTCCTCTTAATAATAAATACTAGCAGTAGAGCCCGGCGTTGCCCGGGGATGTAACTGTAAGAGATAGATCAAGTATCGACCATCATAAAGACTGAAAAATAAAATAAAATTGACAAAGATTATTGTTTAAGGTTGACGGACACGCATGTCTTAATTAGTTTTTTTTTTTTTTTTTTTTTTTTACGAATTGGTCAAACCCAAACTCAAACAAAAACATTGTTTTCAATCATTATGAGTCTACCGATTGAATAGAATTTTATTATAAACTATTGTCTTTTAAGTGGAATTTTTAAAGCATTCTGAATGTAAAAATAAAGAAAAAAGTGTGCAAGATAAACACTACCTGCCAAAAAAAAGTGAAGTTTTGTTGAAATCGGTTGAAAAATGCAGGAAATCCGATCCCATATATAAACGAACACACACACAAACAACCTGGGTTTTATAATAAGTATAACTCGATATGAGTTGTCCCCCTTTCATTCTCGACAGCGATGCCTTTTAATCATGTTTTCAAATTGATTTCATGCAAGAACAATTGTGTTTTTCCAATTTTTGGTGTTGTCAGATCCACCGCAAGGTAATTCTACGTAGTCCTGTAAAGTTTTGTTGAAATCGGTTGAAAAATGTAGGAAATCCGATACAATATATAAACGTACAGACACACACACACACACACACACACAACCTGGGTTTTATAATAAGTATGATTTTGAAGATACAGTTTTATTTTTATTATTTTGGGGGCATATTTTCATTAACTATCCTTTTTTAGAGATCTTTTGGAAGTATCTAACTGTATATCATTATTTGCTCCAACTTTACAGGACGTAGTATTAAGATTATATTTTGACAAAGGTGGTTAATAAAAAGGTCAAAGTATTTCTTGAAAAATATAAGACCTAAGTAATAAAACAATAGGATTTGAACTCTTCACCCTGAAGATCAAAAAACGTAATAACTATCCATTATGTGATTCCACGAGGAAAGAAAAACTTACCTCAATATTTGAGAATGCCATTTCAAATAGAGCCATTTCTAAAATCCTTTTGAGCATGATCTATCCAAAAAGAACTAAAGGTAATTGCCTTTTAAAGCAATCCAGTCAGCAGAAAAGCACATTGGAGATAGCAGCTTTACTTACCTGAAACAAAAAGAAAAACATATAAGTATGTGGCTGTTACAAACAAAAATATATTTGAGAAAATTACAATGCTGTGTATATCATTTAACATCAGAATTTTACTGTCCCGGCAGAAATCATCAATTATTAATGTTAATGCTGAGAATTGGTGAAATATTCTGTAATATGGACAACCTTGAGAAAGCAACCCAACCATATGATCCAAAGAGCCCATTCGAAAAAAAAAATGAAAAAACAAAATAGGTAACCTGATACTGATATCTAATGAAGTAAAAACGAAAAAAAAAACCAAAAAACAGATCTGATCTTTAGGAATAAAGTAGGGCCAAGAACTTTTCAGCAATCATCATATATTCACTGAAAGTTTTTACGTGATGAACACCTTTTTTGCTAAAAGGTTTTTAAAAAATTTTTCTGTCATATGATTATATATATATATATATATATATATATATATATATATATATATATATATATATATATATATATATATATAGGGACATTTTAAAAATTACCAGGGTGGCTTCAAACTTTATAACTATAGTGTGTGTGTATGTGTGTATATATATATATATATATATATATATATATATTTACACTCACACACACAAAGTAGTTCATAAAAAGTTTGTTCTGTTCCACTTCCAATCAGTTTCAGGGGACCAAATTGCACTTGTCAAGGTGAGCTTCCACTTATGGGATACACTTCAATTTGCAGATCATGGAGTCAGTGGAGTATAGGGCTGCAATAAGGTCATTGTTTTTAAAAGGCAACACAAATGAGAACTGGCCAGACCTTCCCACTACACAAATGCAAACAAGAAAGATGTTCCCTCCACACAAATGAGAACTAGACAGACCAGCCCTCCACACAAATGTGAACCAGAAAAACCTTCCCTCCACACAAATGTGAACGAGAAAGACCTTCCTTCCACACAAATGTGAACGAGAAAGACCTTCCCTTGACACAAATGTGACCTTCTTCCCATGCAAATGCAGATCAGAAAGAACTTCCCTCCATGCAAATGTGAACCAGATAGACATTCCCTCCATATAAATACAAACTGGACCATCCTTTCACTGAAATATGAACTAGTTCTTGTTCCCTTTCTTTACAGAGAATGATTATTCCCGCTACTGAAACTATATTTCCTTGTTTACTAAAACAACTAATTCAACTTCTTTTTTAATGTAAATGTTAAATTTCTGCCTTATCTAGACACATGTACATATAAATATAAAGAAAAAAATATTTTTTTCCTGCATATTTACTCTGTATATGAAATCCATAGTTTGTGAGAGTGTAAAGTTCTCAGCCTGACCAACTTCTCCAAATCACTGATTCAATGATGATATATCAAAATACGTCCTGGGTAAGACAATAAACTACATCCGCGTCCTGGGTAAGACGATAAACTACATCCAGTAGCAAGGCCTCTGCTCAGGAGGTTTTGAGGAGCATGAAACCATCTCTTAATTGCTGGTGTTCTCAGGTCCACCCTGACCTGGGGTGGTAGCATCTATTAGGGTCACAGCTTTGGGCAAATAGTTAACACCCAGACTTGTGTAAAAATAGGTTTTAATACCAGAAATACTTTGTAATAAAAAAATTATTACCAGCAATAATTTTTGAAGGAAAAGTTATTATCAGCAATACTTAAAAAAATACCAGCAATACAAACAGCTATATATTCTTTGGAAAAAATGTGACTGGCTATAGATTTTCTCAAGAAAAAATATTCCCAGAAACAGATTTTAGAAGAAAAACATTACCAGCAATAAAAATTTTGTTGGCATTAAATAACCCATTAAGGTTGATATACCGTAAAACAAACCAAACATATCAAAATACCACTTTTCGGAAGCATGCTAAACTGAGAACTTTTCAACACCTTGTCAAAATGTATTCTGAACACAAAAAATATTATACTTTTGTATAATTGACATATATTGAATAGAAACAAATCTCCTTGAATCTAAAAAGCCCCATCTCAAAATAATGATAAATTTCTAAATTACGCTTGTGCAACTCCCTTCCAGTTCCATGCTTTCCAGCCAATATTAATCTGCAAAAAATTTAAATGCAATGTCAGTCACTATCTACTGTCCTCCTGATTACTCTTTTCTCTTTGCGTTCATTATTAATGTTTCTGTTCCTAATTTTTCCACACCCTGTAAGCCCTTACATCTTAGTACTTTTACTGTCTTGCATGGGGTGATAGTGAATTTTAAAAAAAATAAAATAAAAGGTAAAGCCCAGCTAAAACCAGAATTTTGAATTCTATATTTCTTAACTCACTTGGAAGATTGGTGCAACACAATTTTCCTCTTTTAGTTGGCCTTGTTCCATACTGAGCTATGCTGAGTCAATTGAAAATTTCATTGATATTTGTAAATACAGCCGCATAAAAGATATTGATTGTAAGAATCGCGTGCGTATGTTTTCAATACAAAAAGAAATAATACGACAAGAAAATCCCAAGTGTTTTTCAAAGCTACAACCATTAACCACTTTTAACATGGTGACCTCCTTTTGCAGAAAGATAAAAAAAAAGAAAAAAAATGACAATTTCTGACCTGCTTTTTTTGCTTTTCTCCTGTCTCTAAGATTTTCCGCTAAGTCTTTTTGTGTACTGACAAATAACAAAAAGTTAGCAGAGGTCGAAACTCAACAATTTCCTAAAACAATGAACAGGCAACAGCAAATGCTTGCAGCTAAAATAGAAAAGTTCAGCAAAAATGTTTTTTTGAAGGGGATGAAAACAAAAAAAGAAAAAAAAAGCAAAGAATGCGAAAGTGAAGATTTTTGCCTGCAATTCTTCATTTGTAAATGTGACTTTTCAAAAGAGAGGAACCAACTTTCTTCTTTTTTTTTTCTTGAAGGATTTTCCAAGCAGGTATGATTTTGATGTCAAGTAATATTTTACGAATGGCAGGAGAAAAACATGCAAGTGAAAAAATAAATGAAAAGCTACAGCGATGAGGTTAAAAACGTAAATCATAAGAGAGTAAAGGAAAATAAGAGACAAACAAAAAGAGAGAGAGAGAGAGAGACTAAAATAAAGAGTATAATGATAAGAATGTGAGAAGGAGGGAGACAGAAAAAGTAGGGCAAACTGAGGGAGAAAGAGAAACAGATAGAGAAAAATATGGTAGGGAGGAAAGAGGGGATCACAGCCGGAGTGAGTCAGGGTAGGACAAAGAAAGGTTGCAAAGGAGCAAGGCAAGAAATAAAATGAAAAGCAAAGGAAGTGTAAAGAGAGTGAGAATAGATGGAAAAGAAGGGGTACAGAGATAGTGAGCAGTGGAAAAGGAGAAAGTAGAGAGAGTGAGTAACAAAAAAGGGGAAAGTAGAGAGAGTGAGTAGCAGAAAAGGGGAAAGTAGAGAGAGTGAGTAGCAGAAAAGGGGAAAGCAGAGAGATATAATGAGGAAGAGGAAGCAAAGAGAGTGTAGGAAAAACAAAGGGGAAGCAAAGAGACCAAAGAGAGGAACAAAGAGGAAGCTTAGAGAGAGTGACAAGTGGAACAAAGAGGAAGCAAGAAGAAAGAGAGTGGAAGAGAAACAAAAAGAAAATGGAGAAAAGGGGGAAGCAGAGAGAATGCGGAAAAGAGGGGAAACAGAGAGAACGAGGAAAAGGGGGTAGCAGGGAGAACGAGGAAAAGGGGGGTGAGAGAATGCGCAGAGAGAATCCAGGAAAAGGGGTAGAGAGAACGAGAAAAAGGGGGAAATAGAGAGAACGAGGAAAAAGGGGGTAGTAGAGAGAACGAGGAAAAGGGGGTAGGGGAGAACGAGGAAAAAGGGGGAGAACGAGGAGAGAGGAAGCAGAGAGAACGAGGGGGGAAACAGAGAGAACGAGAAAAGGGGTAGGGGAGAACGAGAAAAGAGGGGAAAGAGAGAACGGGGGGGTAGCAGAGAGAACGAGGAAAAGGGGGAAACAGAGAGAGAACGAGGAAAAGGGGGTAGCAGGGAGAACGAAAAGAGGGGAAAAGAGAAGGGGGGTAGCAGAGAGAACGAGGGGAAAAGAGAGAACGGAAAAGGGGGAAACAGAGAGAACGAGGAAAAGGGGGAAAAAGAGAGAAAAAAGAGGGGAAGAGAGAGAACGAGGAAAAGGGGTAGCAGAGAGAACGAGGAAAAAGAGGAAACGAGGAAAAGGGGGGTAGCAGGGAGAACGAGGAAAGAGAGAACGGGGGGAAAACGAAAAAGGGGTAGCAGAGAGAACGAGAAAAGAAGAACGAGAAAAGGGGAAAAACAGAGAGAACGGGGGGGTAGTAGAGAGAACGAGGAAAAGAAAGAGGGGAAAAGGGGGTAGCAGAGAGAACGAGGGAAAAGGGGGTAGAAAGAACGAGGGGGGGAAATAGAGAGAACGAGGAAAAGGGGGGTAGAGAGAACGAGGAAAAGGGGAAATAGAGAGAACGAGGAAAAAATAGAGAGAACGAGGGAAAGGGGGTAGCAGAGAGAACGAGGAAAAGGGGGTAGCAGAGAGAATTTAGGAAAAGGGGTAGCAGAAAACGAGGAAAAGGGGGTAGCAGAGAGAACGAGGAAAAGAGGGAAGCAGAGAGAACGAGGAAAAGGGGGAAGCAGAGAGAACGAGGAAAAGGGGGAAGCAGAGAGAACAAGGAAAAGGGGGAAGCAGGGAGAACGAGGAAATGGGGGAAGCAGAGATTGAGCAAAAGGAGAGAGAAGAAAGTCGGAAAGAAGGTACAAGGCAACAAAATGGGAGAAGAAAGAGACAGAAACTGACAAAATAAAAGATTATTTAAACTGCACTCTACCCTTCTAGACTTGCAATTAAGAAGAATAGCATTTTTTTTAATCATTTCATTTTGTGCAAGACTCAAGTGGTTACTGCGTGTGAAAGAATATAAGAAAAAGAAAAATATTATAAAGGAAACAGAACAATGAAAGAACAAGACAGAAGATAAATTATATTGCATTTAACTTTTTGAAGAACAAAGTTGACTGGAAAGTAGTAAACTGGAAGAAAGTTCCACATGTGAGAAGTGAGAGAGAAGAAATTGCTAACATAGAACTTATGGTTACATTTAGACATTTTAACTGTAAAATGATGAGACTAGCTGCCAATCTAGCGCTGTATTTAAATTCATCATGTCTAGGTACCAAAGAAGAAAGCTCATCAGAACAATTGCCATGAAAATATCTATAAAAAAGGTAAAGGGAAACTTTGTTGTAGTAGTGAGAAAGTGATTGAAGCCAAGATATCAGGACCAATAACATTGCAGATTCTTCTTTTGATTTTATCAAGAATCTCTAAACATATAGCAGGAAGACCAGACCAGATGTGGCAGCAATATTCAAAGAATGGACGAATGGTAGACTTATATATATGTAAGATATATCCTTCTTTGTATTTTATCAAGAATCTCTAAATATATAGCAGAAGCACCAGACCAGATGTGGCAGCAATATTCAAAGCAAAGATGAATAGTAGACTTATAAATGTGTAAGATAGATTCTGGTAAGAAAAATTATCTACCACAGTAAACCAACATTTGTAGCAGCAGACCTAGTAATTGATTTAATTTTATTTTTCCACTTCATGTTAGTGTAAAACATTAACCCAAGAAAGCACAATGTGTCACACTCCTGTTAGAAGTTAGCATCATGGACATGAAAAAAAAAAAAAAAAAAAAAACAGTGCCAAAGACAATTTAAAGAGAGCTGTTTCATTTTAAATTTAACAAGCTATTTTTTTTATTATTTTTCTATTTATTTAACAGGCCAGTTAACAACAAATTGTAGATCATTTTTGAGATCAGCTGCCAATTTGACCCTATGGCCTCATCCAACTTACCATGAGAGACAGGAGTAAATAATTGTACATCATAATATATATTTGAGAACTGATGACATTGGGAAGGTTGTTGATGAAAATTCAGAACAACATAGGTTCAAGGATAGAGTTTTGTGAGACAACAGCATCAATGCAAAAAGATCTAGAAGAGTGGCCATTCAAGATAACTTTCATTTCTTGATTTGATAAGAAAAATTGAATAAGTTCAAAAATCTGAGAAATCCCATAGCCTTTCACATTGTGTAAGACAGGTATGCCAAACCCTGTGAAATGCCTTTGAGTTATATCTAAAGCAACAGCCTGAGCAATGCTATTCTTATTGAAAGCTTGATAGACTCTTTCAGTAATAACTGTTAACGTATCAGCAGTTGACCTAGAAAAGTGAAAGTCATAGTTTGACTAAAAGAAATATCTGCAAGGTGAGAAGATTAACCAATTCAGAGTTGATTATAGTCTCTAGTATTTTGCTAAAAAGATAAAAAGTGATAGAACGCTAATATAGAAGAATCAAATAAATCCCATGAGTTCTTAAAGAATTTAATAAAGAACTTTAAATAACATTTTCATAGTGTTTGTTTTTTCACAAAATAAAGCATTTAGTTATATATTTTTGACTAGTATTTATTTCATCATATTTCTCTTGTTTTCCACAAAGTAGTAATAGTCGTAAGTTGTCTGAATTTCTTAGATGAAGCCTTGGAAATTATTATTCATTTTTCACTAGTATTTCTTTCATCATATTTCTTTTGTTTTCCACCAAGTAGTAATAGTCTTAAGTTGTCTGAATTTCTTAGATGAAGCCTTGTCAATTATTATTCATTTTTGACTAGGATTTCTTTTGTTTTCCACCAAGTAGTAATAGTCTTAAGTTATCTGAATTTCTTAGATGAAGCCTTGTCAATTATTATTCATTTTTCACTAATATTTCTTTCATCTTATTTCTCTTGCTTTTCCACCAAGTAGTAATAGTCTTAAGTTGCCTGAATTTTAGATGAAGCCTTGGCAATTATCATTTTGACTAGTATTTCTTTCATCTTATTTCTCTTGCTTTTCACCAAGTAGTAATAGTCTTATTTTTGAATTTAGATGAAGCTTGTCAATTATTATTCATTTTTTGGATTTCTTTCATCTTATTTCTCTTGCTTTTCCACCAAGTAGTAATAGTCTTAAGTTGTCTGAATTTCTTAGATGAAGCCTTGTCAATTATTATTCATTTTTGACTAGTATTTCTTTCATTTTATTTCTCTTGCTTTTCCACCAAGTAGTAATAGTCTTAAGTTGTCTGAATTTTAGATGAAGCATTGTCAATTATTATTTATTTTTCACTAGTATTTTTTTCATCTTAATTTTAATTGCTATTCAAGAAAAATAATATAACAATATTCTTCCAGAGGCCATGTCCCTTCAGAATGTGTGGAATCATGATTCTCCAAAACTTCATATCGCATGTTGCCCTTAGTCTTTTTGCTATCTCTCCAAAACCCATGTTCAGCAAAGCATTTACACAATCTTATGGGCAGGTTATTCTCTGCTATTCCCTGTCTCTACTTATGTACATAAGAGGTAACACATGTTGCTCAGCAGAGAGTGATAAATATGAAGTTCATACAGTGAAACTATATATATATATTTCATTAAATATGACAGACAAGCAATAATTTAATTAATTTTTTATTCAGTTTTTTCAGTTTTTACATTTTGCAGTCTTATGGGTGGATAGAAATTGTACATTGTCCCAAGTGCTTTTGGTCACTTCTTTAGCCATTTTCAAGTTTTTTTGTTTTTTTGTATAAGAGAGGCCCTGTATATTAAACATCTCTCTCCCACTATTAACCTCACCTTATTTAAAAGTGGGAATGGAGTGTTGAAGTTTAAAAAAATAGAAAGACGCTCACTCGAATTCCAGCTGCACTCAACACTTAAAAGGTCAGGAATAAACAGTCCTACTAGCATTCAAAAATAAAATACGTCTTAAACATGAAGAGAAATTAACAGAAACTAAAACAGACCACTTTGAAAATGACTAAAGAAGTGGCTGAAAGTGCTTGGGACAATATGGACAATTTTTGCATTGGCGTACTCCAGCAAAACTAAAAAAAATCAAAGAAGTTTGGAAAAACTAAATAAAAAGTTAATTGAATTTTCCTTGTTTGTCATTTCATGGAAGATGTTTTAAATAAAGGTTACGGCTCAGATATATATATATATATATATATATATATCTGAGCCGTAACCTTTATCTAAAAAAAGAGCACCTCGATGTGCTGTAATGGTTAGCAAGATTGCCTCACTAGAACAATTATGACTGAGTAGTGAGTTCAATCTTCACTGGGTGCTTTGAATTTTCGGCCTGCTGCTACATCTAAGTTATGCTTAGAAAATCGCTATATTAAAGAAAAACAAAAACTGTTGATGGAACCAATGGACAATTTGCCAAAACTTAAAACTTTTATCCAAATACAGTCACAAATAAAAACAACAATACTGCAAAACAAAGATTATATATATATATATATATATATATATATATATATACACACACACACACACACTTAGGTTTACTTTTCTGAGAGTTTGTAGAACAAAGGAAATCCACAAATGTGGATTACAGAAATGATTGATGATGATAACGGAATTGAGTATAACAAAGTCAAGTTCAGTGGAAAATAGGATGAGATACCAAAAGAAATTCTCAGAAATTCACAAAATCTGGGAATAAAATCCTTCTATTAATCTTTTTGAATTATTCCATTTTCAACAAATAAGATGAAAATGTCATACCAAAGAAACGCATGCTACATGTTATTTTCTTGTCAAGCAGGGAATAGAAGTCTTTTCCTGCCATTTCTTTTCAAAAGAGTTAAACTCAACCAGAAAAACTGCTTCAATTGACCTCTTCCCTTTGTCTGACTTGAAAAAGGATGAGATCAATAAGCAAAGACATTTATCTTGAATCTTAACAGAAAGCAAGGTTTCAAGAATGAAACTTCTTGCACTGAAGAGATTAAAACATCATAAACATGTCTTGTTGAAATTAATTCCGCCTTGGAAGCCATAGATTTGAATGGTTCTGCAAGACAAGAGAAGAAACCTGAAGTAGTAGGGACAGGAAGGTAAGAATAGGGGAGGGTGTATCAGTGTCAGTCAGAAATAAAAGAAAAATTGGATAAGATGTGCTGGGGTTAAGATGTCCAATGATAAGGGAGTTTGATTTGAAGGAAATTAAGAAAATTCTATTTCCTTAAATCAATAGAAAAATAAAAAAAAAACAAGGGAACTGGGAAACAGAAGGAAAGAAAGAAAGGATGTACAAAAGAAAAAGAGTGAGAGAGAGAATGAAAAAAATTTAAATAACAAATAGAAAAAAAGAATGCCGAAACAAGTACTATATAAGCCATTAAATGCCCCAAGTGCTGTAGAGGAGAAAGCAAATGCCCCAAGTGCTGTAGAGGAGAAAAAATGCAAATATAGCCCAAATAGCAAAGTTCAAATGACTAGGATGGAAAATATTTCCTAAAATGGTCCATTTGAAAAACACAAAAAATATCCTACATCAAGGAAATGCTTAGTCAAATAAACATTATCTTCCTAGTTTCAAAGGAAAAAGGTAATAAACTTGTTAAATTTCCAGTTTTTCTACCGTTGTTTTTGATAACTCGGTTACAACAAGTAACTAATATGGTTACACAGAATTCCTATTTTTTCTCCAGAAGCATCAGCATATAATGGTCTTGTGAAAATAGACCTATGAGCAATCAATCCTCTCTTTTAATACTTAAGCTTAACCAATGAATGCTAATTAGAATGGCATTTTGAAAGGATTGCTTTTTGTTATAAAGTTTGTATAACGCTATTAATAAATAACTGTAAGGTTTGATCACGAAGAGACATGGATTAATAATACCAATTTCAGTGCAGCAATGCATGAAAATATATTCTACTAATAGTGGATGGAGGAGTCCAAAAATTAGACTCGTTTTCTTTTTTACCTTTTTACATTAAAATGAGATGACCCCACAATTCCATAGAATCTTTCACGCTTTTCTTCTTTTCCTTCTAAATGACTGAACTGCTTTCAGACTGAACTGAGGGACTATCTTCAGCCCTTTCTTCTACTACTTGAACCAAATCTTGAAGTATCAATCTATTTTTATGAAACTACATGTCTTTCACACTAGTCCTTTCCTGTAATACTTCAGCCAAACATCAGACAAGATGCGTAAAAAAAAAAAAATGCTTAATAAGAAAGGTGCAGAATGCATGGCAGTTAGCAAAAGGGACAGCCCAACAATTTAAATATCTGGGAAGCATTTTAACAGAGGATGGAAAATGTGACACTGAAATCTGAAGGAGCATTGAGATAATGCAAGCTGCCTTCCAAAAGCTAAGGAAAGTATTAAGAGATAAAAAAAAAATGTTAGAAAGAAAGTACTAAACTGTTATGTAATATCAGTTCTCCTATATGGCAGTGAATGCGGGACAATTTCCTTATAGATGAAGAAGAGACTTGAAGCAACAGAAATCAGATTCTACAGAAAATTCTGAGAATACCATGGATTTAACATGTGAGTAATAATGAAGTTTTAAGTAATATAAAGTTAAAAATATACTTAGAACTAGAAAGAGAGAGTTGAAATTTCTGGAACACATAATAAAGAAAGAGAGTTTAGAGAATTTGACACACAGGAGATGTTGAAGGCAAGAGGGACAGTCTACCTAATGAGTTTCTGTTGAATGGATACCAAATGACCAAGAAGTACAAGGGATAGGAAGTTGTAGAGAGCCATGATCACTCATGTTTTGAGAAGACAGAAGGATGCTGAGAATATCATGGGCAGAATATATGAACAACAACAAAGTTTTAGGGAAAATGGAAATAAAAAGGACCCTTATACTTAACACTAGGAAGTGATAGTTGAAATTTCTAAGGCGAATAAGGAAAGAGGGCCTGGAAAATTTGATACCTACAGGACATATTGAAGTGGGAGAGAGGAGAGCAATGCATATACCATGCAAGCTTATTTAGATGAATACTGTCACAAGGTTTAGAAGAGTAAGCAAAAAAGACAAAATTTACAATGAGCTACAAAGGACAGGAAATAGTGAAGAGCCACGATAGACTATGTCTTGAAGGGACATGGCACATGAAAGAAGAATATGATAACAGTAATGGGGATAGTGTCCAAATGCACTGGGAAGACCTGGCACACAGTAAAAAGTGAATCCCTCCACCAGCCTCCTTATGAAAACAAATATAAAGAGAAACCAAAAGAATTTACACAGTGCTTGAGCAGAAAGTATGGTAAATAAAGCCATGCCAGTCGCAAATCATACAGAAGTTGGCAAACAAATATGGTTTTAAAAAGGTACTGTGTCAATGTTCGAAAAACTGCCATATGCTACAAGTGTATTGTCAAGCAGGTCATTAGAAACTGCACACCTGTTTCAAAATGGAAATGTTAAATGAGAGAGATCAAGGTAAAAGGTTAATGTGGGGGGACTGGGTGATGATGGAGATGAACGGGAATGAAGGAAAAATATGCTTCTAAATAAATAGGGAGGCTTATATTTAAAACACTTCTTGTCACTTTATTAAGCGCAGATTAAAAAAAAATAAAATAATGACTCTCTGGCTTAATTTAATCCTCTCTTAGTTTATACGTCAGCTGGAATTAACATCAAAATGAAAGTCGGCTTTTTAGTTTGAACACTGCAGTCTGTAAACAGACTGATTTCTGGCCTTCGCTCTTTCCAAACGACAAGCTCCCTTCATTACTTCCAACACCAGCAAATCCCATTTGTCTGGAAAAAAAAAAATAGTGGAAGAATCTCCTGAAAGTATCTGGCTTGCAAAATAAGTAATATTTCACCAAATCTATGATGTCATTTGTAGTTCACAAGCTGCAAGGAACATTAGAATTATTGACTTAGAACTCTATTATTGTGGCCTTGTGTCAGAACAAACTGAGCTTAGGCAATTCAAATACAAATAAAATAATTAGCAATGTATTTACATTATACATACACTAGTCCATTTCTATCAGTAATGCTTGCATTTGATACCTGCACACTATCTCTCCTTGATTTTCAATGCATTTTTATAGTCAAATCATTAGCAATGCATTTTCATTATACATATAATTGTCCTCTTCTATCAGTAATACATGCATCAATTCTTGACCATTGACAATCCCTTTCTCTGATTTTTAATGCATTTTTATATTAAAATCATTAGCAATACATTTACATTCTAAATATAAGTCCTCTTCAATCAGTAATGTTTGCATTCATTCCTGACCAGTGACAATCCATTTCTTCAAAATTTTCTATGCATTCCTATAGTAAAATCATTAGTAATGCATTTCTATTCTACATATAAGAGCCTGTCAGTAATGCATTTAAATATGCTAAAGTGTTATCATATTATTAAAGTGACAAAACAAAACTTCAGAAATCACAAGTATATTTTTTCTTTTCATTTTCAAGTGGTTTCAGAAATAACCAAATTTATGACTGAAGCTCATTACAAATTAAATTACAAAGAAATAAAAAAGAAAAGGAAAATTGCAAAATAAATATAAAAAAAACAATGCAAGTTAATAAAAAAAGCAATAAACTGAATTTACCTAAGTCAAAAGCAAATCAGGTCAGGTGAAAAGCTGAGGAGAAATGCAATTTTTTGTTCACTTGAATAAAACCTGCTTTTTAGGTCAGCAAGAAAAAAACAATGATTTTTACTCAGAAATCTTGATAACAAGTTAAGTTTGAACCAGGTACCTCCGAGGCAGATTTATTTGAATGTTTCATAAACATCAACCAAACAGAAACCAAGGTCTAAAGAAACAGTAGATCTTCCAATCCAAGCAGAGACTCATGCCACATGTATAAACAGCAACCAATCAAAACTGAGAACGTGTCCATGTGATATGAAGAGAGACTGTCAAATAAATAAAAAAAAATCCTATCACATGACAATATCTGCTTCTTTCTCTTCTTGTCATATTCTTCAAATCAGTCAGCTGTTTCCTTTCTGTTTTCTTTCAACAAAAAAAAACTATTTCACTTATTGTGTTTTATCAAAACTCTTAGCATTAAAAACTTAAGTTTTTTTATTTCACCTACCAATCTGCTTATATTGCTAAATTTGTATTGCTTGTGTCCACAATATTGGTGTACAGAACTTGATTGATATACATTTACCTATTATTGACTTTTAACTGTCAGACAGAGCCTATTTTCCCACTAGACGTTGCTTTATCTGAGTAACTTTTCACAGATCATAATCAGTGGGTGATAAAGACAGAATTAAGATTCATTTTGAAATATTATCGAACATTCAGAGCACAAGGCTTTCCATGATGTATTATTAATTGAGAACCTAAACAAGAAATACGTTAGTTGGTTGGAATTGGATATTTAAATATCCTGTTGTTTATTGCTTAAACATAGAATTTAGTTTTTTTCAAAACAATTCTTACATGTTACATTAAAAAATTAATTTTGCAAACAATTACATTGAAGTTAATGGCCTTATGAGGCACTCCACAACTGTGGCCTTGTGTCAGATTAAGTAAATCTGTATACTGAGTCTTACTATTCAATGTTTATTTATAATTCTGATTTTTGTTTTAACCATTTCATTCCAAGCAAGGTGATAATGCCACTAAGACGCAAAGGGTTACTGGGAATCGAAGAGAGTGGAAAGACTTTAGTAAGGAGAAAAGGCAATAAAAGAACGGAAGATTGTAGGTGTCATGGAAGTCAGAAACTTGATGAGAGTTACACAGGGGAGAAGTGTGAGAAAAGAAACTTTTAGATTAAGATAGGTTATTTTACACCAACACC